GTCCAGCTGAGGAGGGGAGGGATAGAGTGGCCTTGGTGGGCACCAGGCATCCAGGCCAGGTCAACCCACCACAGAATAGATTATAGTTCTATAACAATTACAATTATAGAGCCATCTCTCATCCGGAGGCAAACACTTGTCTGATGGATGCGGTGGAAGCCTGATGGAACCCCCAATTTCGTGCCCTGCACTGACTCCCGCAGAACAAGCCTGGCCATCTCTACACCAATGGACCTCACCTGCAGAGCAAGGCAGGTCTTACTTGCTCGGAAACACCGTGACCCTGACGGGATGCTAGCGTAGGCTGCCGGTGGGTGTTGTGCTGTGCCCAAAGCTGTGTCAGCTCACCCTAAACACCGGGACAAGTACTGGAGTGGAGCTGCCCCAGCCTCGGAAGCCCATCCAGACCCAGGCTTCCTCCACATAGAGCCAATGGAGATATTTCTGCACGTGTGGCAAGATTAATCTGCAGATGGACACCCAGAAAATGGGGAGCTGACTGCCCGTTTTCAGTAGCACAGGTATTGCAACCGCAGAATTTCCACACTCCCACGGCACAGGTCACGTTTCAGTGCCAGCAGACGACATTTAGCAATGCAGACTCCTTTCTGACCCACAATTATCCCACGCCAGCGGGGATGAAGTGGCTAATTCCAATGCAGCAGGCTTTCAAGACAGGAGACGCAATACTGCCTCGGAAAGGCTCGCTGCCCTCGCGTTAGCTGGTGGGTGGCACGCGGATCTATTGCTGGCCCCCTCCGTCACGCAGCAACGTGCAGAAGGAGCAGGGGAGGTAGAGGTTTAGAGTCACAGAAATGTTATAATTTGACCAGGAATAAAAAGTCCTTCTCCAAGACCATCCCACTTGTATGAAGAGGCTGGAAAAATTGTAAAGTTTCGTTTTAAGTGAAAGTAGCTTACTGTGTCTTCAAGCTCCTCTTTGAGGTGACGTAGATCCCTGTGATGTTGCTCCTTCATTTGTTCAATAGCCATTTCTGCCTCTATGCTCATATTTAGCGGGTTGCAGTCTTCTGAACCAAGTCCTTTAAAAATAATAATGATATAGGTATTCTTGAAGCCCAAAGAGATACATTCTCAACAGAATTATTTAATCAATTCAAATTTGTTTAGTCAGCTACTTGCAGCTCTCAAATTCCCATCACACACACAGATCAGAAACTGCAAACATCGATTTCAGCTTTGAGTACAGTACAGCAGCCGGATTCCACTTAACGTTAAATAGCAAAAGAGAGGTGGCGTTTGAGCCTCGCTGTGAAGGTTTGGGAAAGGTTTTATGTAACTGCCTCTAAGATGTTCTCACCAATACCCACAAACACACAAGCTGGTCGTACAGGAGATGTGCTTTACCTTGGTCAGGCTCAATACCGCTATTGCCATGACCTTTCATATCCAGGTCAAACTCTTCCGACAGTGAATTTTTCAGCGAAGGCCTGAGCACTTTGCCTTGGGCACGGTACTCCTCCAGCTCCGAGTGCAGCTCATCTATCTGGTCTTGCAGCTCCTGAGAGGGGGCCAAAAAAAAGCCTGAATGAAAGCAACCAAGGCAGCTGAGCATCTGTACATCAACGCACTCCCATGATGAGATATTTAGGAAGGAATTACAGTAGGCAAAGACTTGTCAATAATCCTGCCATCATGCCACAGTTAGTCATCCTCCTGTCAGCAAAACAAGACCCTTCTCCAGGTTCCAACCTCTGCAAGTAACAGATATGTTTCTTACTAAAAGAGCAGAAGCTTCTTCAGACTGACAGCCTGGCTATATCCTGCCTCTAAAGTATCCTCCAGGACTTCTCTTCTTATTCCTTCTTCCTACAACCTTTTTTTAAACAACAGGTTAAGAATGTTCTCAAACAGTTGAGAAATACCTCCTCAAACACCATCTACTTGCAAAATCAAATCAGAAGCAAGAGATCAAGTTAGGAAAGAGATATTCTCATTACTGCATCTACCATCTGGTGCTTCTGTCCGCTTGCCAGCAGAATATCCCGAGCGTTTGTGCCAAAGGCCACGCGTTCAGCTCAACGAACAGCATTTATTGAGGAAAATGAATCCCTGAGTGTGTAAACACACAATTCTGCAGATTGGAAAGGTTCAGAAAGTGAACTTTGAATACTGATTCATATCTGACAGTACTAAAAAAAAAAAAAAAATTGATTGCATATTCAAGCAACTTATTATAAAGAAGTATCAATTCGGCATATATTTCTAGAAAATTTTTGCTTTTAGACTGCAATTTCCTATCAGAGCTACCGTGCAGTTTCAGACTGACAGACTTTTGCCAATGAAAAGGATCCTTTATTCAATGAAAAGGATCACGTGGAACAGATGAGCTGAATGCTGGTAACCATTGTGGTCATCAGAGGGGAGCTATGTAAACAGATACTTGCAGACCCACCTTCAAGAGGTATTTCAACCATACAAGATTTGGGGAGGAGAAGACAAGCTTTAAATTTTCAGTTTTATTTGAAGAAAATACCACTGTTCTGGAAACCACCAAAACTCAGATCTATCTTATTTATGCTGTTAGTTCCCGCATTTCGAATTAGAATTCAACATAGAATTCAAATTAGGGCAAAGTTTATTTCATAAATCAAAAAACTGCTAACGCACAACTGTGCAAGGAGCTGAGCTTGATGGACAGCCAGGGAATGAAGGAGACTCCATAGGCCCTATCCAAGGCCACCCTTGGGGCACCTCATCCCCTTAGCTCGGCCAGTTGCCTCTGCGGCAAGAGCTTTCCACCCTGCAAGAAGTTGGATTAGTATAAAAAAGCCATTGTGTAGGAAAAAACCCCATCAGTGTTGCACTGCTGCTCCGGGCTGCTGTTTGCAGCAAGGACGCTCTTGGTGAACGCGGGCAGACGGGTGCCACGTCTCCAGCCCTGGGCTCCACTTACTCTGCACTGCCGCTCGTACTCGCTTCTCATCTGCGCCAGTCTCTCCTCCTGCAGGAAAAACTCCGCGCTGCTGGGATCCAGGTCGCCAAACTGAAACGGCATGAACGGGATCCAGTTACTCTTCCACCAAAGAGCCCTGCTCATCACAGCCCGGATGCTGTTCACCAGCAGTCCTGCAGCCTGCGCCCTCTCCCCTCTGGTTTTTTATTTATTTTAAATACAGAAATTCTGAAATTTATTTTAAATACAGAAATTTATTTACTTTAAATACAGAAATTGTGCTTCGTTGCTGCTAGGAGACAACGAGCAACCTCCCTAACAAATACTAGCTGGTCTCTCACCATAGCTCTCATGCTAACTTTGATCTCAGACCACAGCTTTCTCACTTAGCACATCTCAGTTTGAGAAATAATCCCAACTTTAAAGAAGTCTGGGAAAGAGACGCTGGGTGAGAATCCCAGCTTTTGTCTATAGATGCACACACACTGAAAAGCCTTTGGAGAAGCTGATATTCTGATGAATTTATTGTAATACAACCTTGATCAGCTGTTCACCCCGATTTTCACCTCAGTTTAGTAGAGATGCCAGGTAACACATAACACCTCGTGTAGCATCTTCCCCAGAAAGGACCGGCACGTTGGGTCTACCCAAAACTATGTGCTGGGGAAAAAAAAAATAGTCCCTGCAGATGTATGGGATGATCGCTTCACTGTAAGGCTCCCTACTGTTAATTAGTGTAAAACTACAGCTAAGGTGGAGTATCTTTAATTTCCTTAGCTGGAAGTCAGTCAGGCAGTCCACGTCAACAAGATAGGCTATGCCCTGCTCACATCTGGATAGGGACCCCAAAGAGCCTCCAGCTGTTCAATTGGCAGCTCGAGTGTAGTAACTGAAAAGCAATTTAATTCTGGAAGCACACTGGGAAGAGGAAGATTTACCTTCTCAGTCAGGATGTTTTCCAAGTTCCTCTGCAGTTTGCTTGCCAAACTTTCATACTCGGCCAGTTTTTCCCCCGTTTCCAATAGCTCGCTTTCCAGGCGGCTGTTTTCCTGGACCAAACAAAACCCCGCAACAGCCTCAGCATTTGGAGAAGGAAAACATTAGCATGTGGTAACTCATTAGAAAAGAGTTATCTCCCAGTCAAGTCAGAGCACGACACTGCTACAAGCTTCAGCCAAAGATAGGAATTGGGAATTCGTTACCCACGCACGTACAACCCCTCTTGCCAGGGCAAAATAGCAACTTTTGATGTTGTTTGTAAGGCAACACCATTATCATTAACTTTTGCTCGGTTTACAAAAACCTAAATTACACATTTATGCAGCTATCAGATGCAGAAAAAAATGTGTCTTGAGTGTTTTCTAAAAAAAAAAAAAAAATGTTGGAAAAGGGTGTGAATCTGTGGGGCCACGGGTGAATGACACCACTGTATTTGACAGCAGATGGTTTATCCAAAGGCATAACAGCAAACTTGCTTTAGAGATTTTTTTTTTTTTTTTTAAAGCAGTATTTTAAGCTTCATCAAGACGTATTATCTCCTGGCTGGACAGCCAAACAGCCAGCAGGCAGACAGCCCATCCAATAGCTGTACGCATGCCCATGCTGCACACGATGGCAGCAGAGATTTTAAATGGAGCTTTACAAATCCAAGGAGTAACCAAACAATTCTCATGGATACACCTCTATCTTGCCACTAAAATTACTTTCAACTAGCTCAACATGTGCTGTAACAAATCCTCAGCAAGGACTATGTTGCAAGCATTGCTCCCCACTTCAGGGCATCCTTGTCATTTGGAGGAAAATGCCAGCTGCATTTGTCCCGTTACCTTCAGGGAAAGGGCCAGGCGGTCCCGGGTGTAGTTCTCATCGGTTTTCAGCTTTTCTATCTCCTGCTCCAGCTCCAGCCGCTGTTTATTAGCCTGCTGCAGGATTTGCTCCCGCTCTCTCCGGAGCTCATTCTTTAAAGCTGCAATTCGTTCCTTGTACTCCTCATCCAGCTTCCTATGAAGGCATCGGAGGAAAGAAGAGCTCGTAAGAAGCAGCAGGCGGCAGATACCGCTGCGAGTGAAGCTTGGTGGTAACCAGCAGGCGCGAAGCCACTACCTCCGTCAGAGTCCCTGCAACGCCACGGCTGTGATCCCAAAGAGGAGGGGAGGGGTGAAGTGGGACGCTGTACCTGAGGTTGTACTCGTTCCGGCGCTCAATCGCAGCGTGGTGGTCGTCCACTTCAGAGGCCATCAGGGATTTCAGCTTTTCGGCTTTTTCCAAGTCCGACCGCAGTTTCTCTTTCTCCCTGGCCACTTGGTCAACCTTCTCCCTAGGGTAAGCACAGCCGGCCTGGATCAGGTCACCCCTCCCAGCTCCCCCAAAGAAGGCACTTGCAAGAGGCTTGTCAGAGAAGAACAGCTCGGAAAGCTCTCCAAGTTTCTTTTATCGTCACCTGCATTTAGTCACTAGATATGAACTTGCACATATAGCTGTGGACCTGTCTCGATATCCCCATAGGTCCCAAGACCTCAACACGTGAACTCTTCAGCTGTGGTCTAGCCCCCCAAATTGCAGCGCTACGCCATTTCGCCAGGCCACTTTCTGCCCCATTTACTTGTTCTCATAATTTCATTACCTTTACCACTTCATCTTTATACTACATCCAATCTGGTTTTGATCACAAGTTTGTAAGATCCGCTAGATTAAGCGGCTTTCTTAATAGGAGCCTGACAACAAATCCCTCCACTGAGTGAACGTAAGAAGATATTTAGACAGGCAAATGCGAACAAACAGCAGGAAGCTGTTGTGAGGTTTCATACAAGCAAAGCGGGCAGCTTGCAAGCCCAAGTGGTAAGCCAACAAATAACAGGACACGTGCAGTCTTAATGACCAGCAAAAGTCATCTGTCATATTGCTTGGAGGTGCTTTATCAGCATAAGCTGACAAATACCTACACTATTCAAAGATATACAGCACAAACAAAACACCGCTAATAACTGGAGCTTGTGCACGTGGCAGATGGATGCAACAGTTCCACAACAGGAAGGAACCAATGCAATACTGAGGGTGCGATGCTTAGAGCGAGGGTCTCCCAAGTGAGGTGGACACGATGATCCATTGGTGTGGACATCGGAACTTCAGTAGTACATGTCTATAATTTATAAATTAATAAATATACATACAGGGAACTATATACAGGGAAATGTTTCCCATCTCCTACACTCTCACACTGGAGAAGCCTGCATGGCAAAGTCAAACTGTGTTGACTTCCAAATGAAAAAAGTGGGGGTGCATGGTGGTTTTGTACCTCGACCACACCTCTATCGCACAGCAAGACCTACATAACACTACTGCAAGAAATCACTTAGGATTAAAGGTACTGCTTATCAAATTGCACCAGCTTTTGCCTTAAGCTTTGCATTCCTTGGCCATCGATGACCATTGCAGATTGCAATGACCATTTCCAGACTGCTGAGCCCGGCCGGCAACAGGTGGCTGCTTTGATTTTATTATCTTTTTTTTTTTTTTTTTTAAGTAATTTTCTGCAATACCTGGGTTTGAGTGCTTTACCTATACCAAACAAGACAGTTGAAAGTTTCTGACCGAGCTGTGATTCTATGATTCGAAGCTAACAGAGAACCTAACCTTGCAGCGAGACGGCAGTGCCTCTTGGAGGGGTGGTACAAACTGCCATTAATCGGCTGCTACTTAAGCTCCTGCTTGGCAAAAGGGAGAGGGCAATGAGGAAGCGGCAGAGCCAACGATCCTGGTGACTTACAGCAAGTGTCTGATCTCCATTTTGAAGCTCGCCAGGGCTGCCTGGTGGACTCCGTTCTTGGTTATTAAAAGCTCGTTTTCTAGCGCCAGTGTCAGCTCTGTCAAGTTCACCTTCCCATCCAAGCTGAAATCCAAAGCCTGCAAAACAACACGTCGTTAGAGCAGAACGAGCTTTCCTGCCTTGCAGGAGCCTGGAGATGTTGGTATATGAAGTGACAGAATAAAATGAGGAGGCTCGGAAAAGGTCTTTGCTTGCTGATTATGTCGCGAATGCCTCTGGGGCAATAAACCAGACATCTCTGCCACATTCCTGCGTTGAAGAGCTGCTGCCAGCTGCGGAGATGGAAAGTGTCCTGGTTGTGCTGCAAGACCAACAGGAAATTAAGCCCACGCCTGATTAAAAGTATTAATTCTCTAGGGGACCTAACAACACCCGCCTTTTTGCGTATTCAAATGCTGCAAGAAAGTGGTTGAAGATGTTCATGTTAAGCAGAACCAGCTCTTGCAATAGAGACAACACAGAAGAAGCCTTGTAGGAGGTATTTGATAGCAAAGATCCCACCTCTTAAAACATGATTTATCAGCAACTGCTTGTAATTTCCTTCAGCCTAACTCAGCAGGAGCACAGAAGGGCCCGTGGTGGGACTGAAACACTGCAAACACTGGAAAAACCACCCCGGTTAACGCAGTACCGGCTTATCAAGCTGGCCCGCACGAGCCCAGGCTACACGTGAGTGTAAAGCCTGAGCAATGGCAGAGTGTATTACAACCCGGGTGTTCAATATCCAGGCGGACATTAAATGCCAAGAGAAATCTGCCGTCATCGCTGCTGGGAAGCCAGCGATGGTCTCAGAATAGACGTATTGAAATTATCTTCTCCCATCCGTAGCTTCGAGCAAGATGGACAGGGATGGGGTTTACTTCAGATATCTGATTTGCAACCCACATTACCCTTTTACTCTGTATAATTAAACACTAATTACTGGGCAGGGTTTCAAGTGCTGCCCTCCACCTCAGCACAAGCAGTAATTCAGGTCATCCCAGTGCTAAAAGGTTTACAGGTGCAGCTATTCAGTGAGGTAAAGGAATTAAATTGCTTTCTACAAATATAGGTGACCTCTTCGAGCTAAGCTGGAAGTCACATTACATTTTTTATCATTAACTTCCAGCTCTCTGGGAAGCACCATTGTTTCAATAAAGGAAATTATTGGAAATTTCCTAGAACAGTTAGACTCTTGTTGCTAGCCCTGGGAATTTTAAAGCAGGAGGGGTGGAAATAAATCATCCAGGTACAGTCCAGCATCCTACACTGGGGAAAAAAAAGAGCAAAAGGGGTGCGGTGGAGCTGGTGGTTACCTTCAGGATCTCCTGGCTGTTCTCTATGCCCTCTTGGTGCCAGCAGTCCAGGACGCCCTCCACGCAGCCGTAGCCCATCCCGTCGTCCAGGCTGGAGAAGAGGCAGAAGCCGAGGGTGCTGGGCATGGCCGAGGGGGTGGTCGTGCGCCTCCCGCTTTCGTCGAAGGACTGCCGGGAGAGGGGAGAAGGTGCGACCGGGCACGGGCAGAGCCAGGCATCTGGCCACCCCGTGACAAGAAAGGCTTATAAATGTAATTTTGCTAACAGTACTCTGGAGATTAAGGATTAAGGTCTGCTTTTCCTCGCTGCCAAGCAAATACCCGGCAGGAGCGCCGCTGCTGACCTGATGGCCCTGCAGCACAGCCAGGCGCTTTGGATTTAACATAAATCCGAGGAGGAACAGTTTCAGAGCTGTCCCTAACGCTCCAAAAGTGTTTTCCGCTGTCTGTTTTTGGTTTCAAGTGTCACCTCCCCTAAAAAGGCCACAGGAAGCATATGCACAGGTGCTTTTGCTAAAGCCCTCAGCTTCCTGGCAAAGACAGGTAGCAGATTTAAAACTGTTAAAAAGTTAGAGATACAGGACCTGCATGCCCACGGTCTCCAACCTACCCCAGACCACCATTTCCCCTTGCATCCAGTTTATACCATTTACTTCCTGCACTTCACAGCTTGCAAGAGCCGTCTCCAAGCCACGCTACTTTAAAGGAGAGCCACCTCCCCTTTATCGCGAGGGTGTTTCTCTGCATTATCCCCCCTGCACCCCGACACGGCCAGAGGAAACCTGCAGCAGCTTCACCCCCTCGCCCTCGGTGGAGGCAGTCGTGCCCACGGTGCTGCTGCGCTCACCGGGGCATCCCCGGCTCTGCTCCGCTCCGTGGCATGGCAGAGCAGGGGAGCAGTGGCCCACTGCCACCACCTCCAAGGCTGCCCCACCACAGGGACAAGAGTGGAGGAAGAGGAGGAGACAGGCTAGGTGGAATTTGCCCAGGACTTCACAGAATCACACAGAATCCTTAAGGTTGGAAAAGACCTTTAGCATCATCAAGTCCAACCATCAACCCAACACCCCCATGCCCACTAAACCATGTCCTGAAGCGCCACATCCACAAGTTTTTTGAACACCTCCAGTGACGGTGACTCCACCACCTCCCTGGGCAGCCTGCAGTGAAGAAATTTTTCCTAATATCCAATCTAAACCTCCCCTGGCGCAACTTGAGGCCATTTCCTCTCGTCCTATCGCTGGTTACTTGGGAGAAGAGCCCACCCCCCACCTCACCACAACCCCCTTTCAGGTAGCTGTAGAGAGCGATGAGGTCTCCCCTCAGCCTCCTCTGCTCCAGACTGAACACCCCCAGTTCCCTCAGCCGCTCCTCATCAGACTTGTGCTCCAGACCCCTCCCCAGCTCCGTTGCCCTTCTCTGGACATGCTCCAGCACCTCAACATCCTTCTTGGAGTGAGGGGCCCAACACTGAACACAGGAGTCGAGGTGTCACCTCACCAGCGCCCAGTACAGGGGCACGATCCCTGCCCTGCTCCTGCTGGCCACACTATTCCTGATACAGGCCAGGACGCTGTTGGCCGCCTTGGCCACCTGGGCACACTGCCGGCTCATGTTCAGCCGGCTGTCAGCCAGCACCCCCAGGTCCCTTTCCGCCGGGCAGCTCTCCAGCCACTCCTCCCCAAGCCTGTAGCGCTGCATGGGGTTGTTGTGGCCCAAGTGCAGGACCCGGCACTTGGCCTTGTTGAACCTCATACAGTTGGCCTGGGGCCATCGATCCAGCCTGTCCAGATCCCTCTGCAGAGCCCTCCTGCCCTCCAGCAGTTCAACACTCTCCTCCTGCTTTTACCCCGGGATCCACCTGGTTTCTCACCTGCATGGAGAGGTGTCGTTTCAGCTGTCTGTACGGGGTAGATGCCGAAGGTGTCAGTGACTTTCCGGTTCTAAACAAGCCGTAGAAGAAGTCCTCTATGCTCATGGTGCCATCTTGCTCCAGGTTATGGAGCACCTCTTCAAGCACCTGCAAGCAACGGGGGATAGAAATCACATCTGCTGTTGCCAAAAATGCCGTAGCAACAATTTGGCACAGCAGAAAACACCCTATTCCAAAAGAGTTAGCCGGTACACTGCACCAGCCTAACACCGGGACGGCCTCCTTCACAGCGAAAATCGCAGAGCCACATCGCTACGAAAACCCTTACGTAAAAGCGTGTAAGCTCCCGGTCATCTTGGAGCCTCCATCTTGTAAGGCAGCACAAAAAACCCTCGTTTCATTCTGCTCTCGAAACAGGGCGACCTCAGGAATTCAGTGCGAGGTACGAGGCAGGTGCCAAAACCCCAGCAGCTTGTGAAGTGACCAGGCGAAAAAAAACCCCCACAGTAAGACACTGCAAGGTTATAATAAATCTGTTTTATGCTTCAGGGCAGTCTGCTTTCTGAAAAGCAAGGCCAACCTTACTAGGACCGGAGATGTTAAGGTTAGTCCTTCACTATTTCTTTGTCTACGGTTTATTTTTTCCATTGTCTGCCTTAATATCCTGAGAACATTTTGTTGCAAAGGAATACCTGCTCAGAAACACATTTTATGAAGGAAATGACTACGTGCCATGTTAAGATGCAAAACAGTCCGATTTTTTTTTAATAAAACTAAATCCTAAATTGACAAGAGACTTTTTTGCTAAAGAAATAATTTTCTTGTGGACTCTTCCTGGAGGGCAGAAACTGCCCGCAGGCCTTCTCAAAGTCAAAAGCAACAATCTGTGAATATTTTAACCCATATTTACTGTCTAGCTGGAAGATTTCTGGGATTAAGGTGACATGCTTGGAATCTAGGATATGTTTTTAAATTCCAGTTTACTCTGCGGTTGCATGAGAAGACACGCACGCTGCGGTGTCAGGAAGGCTGGCAGCTGCCTTCTACCAGGGCGGCCTCCCGCGTCCGATGGTTCGACACCAACAGACTCGCTGGAGCTGAAAACCGCTTTCCAAGTAGCAACCCGTTACCCAGCACTTGTGCTTTAGGCTTGTGGTCAACCGCAGGACAGACTTTGCGGGGGCCACGCTAAAAGCCCAGTACACGCGCTGGTGCGAGTGGGTCCATACATGGCCGCTCACCTCCCCGGCCGCCGTTCGGAGCCCATACTGCTCACAAATGGAGATGAGCTTCTTCCGGTTCAGGTGGCCGTCCCTGGTGATGCCGAGGTGCTCGCAGACCTCCTGTAGTTTCTCCTCTATCCAGTCCGGGGTGGGCAGCGATGCACCGGGGGAGGAGTTCAGGTCATCTGGGTTCCAGAAGCGCAGCTGCCCTGGAAACGGGGGAAACCGCTCCGGTTTCTGCCCATCCACTGCACACGAGTGACCACCAGAAGACCTAGGTGTTCTGCACGCCACGGGGGACTCGCTGCTGCAGCGGGCAGACCCCTGCTCCGTGCTCATCAGACCCTGTGGGACTGTTTGTCTTGCCTCATCCTGCACAGAGTACGCTTGGGATTTTGGGGTAGGGCTACTGGCACGGCTATGGGACTGTACCAGAAGGAGCAGAACCTGGTCAGCATTCAACTTGCACATGCCACCGCATCCAGGCACACGGTGAGCTGCAGCCGGGACCACAGCCAGAAGGATCTCTGGGGACGTGGATGAGTCTGATGGCCAACATGAGCTGGTGGCCCGGGAAAGCACAGCCCTGCCACCTCGGCTGCTGGCATGGATGGAGAAGGGACTCCTCCTCTTCTGGGCAGTTATGGATCAAGGGAGAGGACTGAGCAAGTTGCATATGGGTATATCCCTTGACCAGGTCGAGAACTTCGGTGGTTGCCTGTCTCCATAAATGCCACCCCCCAGGTGGAGCTGCCTAAATGCCCATCCTCTTTGAATGTAAACTGTAGTGTATGTTTTGATCTAAGGACTTCCAAACACTCCTTCAGGGGAAGGAAAAAGACCCACCCATTAGCCTTCAGCTGAAGACATTTCCTCAACCTCCAGCAAACACCGGGGGTGCAGTGTCACCCAGCTGGAAAGACTCACAGAGCTACTGGACACTAAACAGTCTGAGCTTGCTTAGCTGCAAGGCCACCTCCTCGCATCCGCTACCTCATCCTGGGGCTGGAAAAGCAGCTTTTGGAGCACAAATTTGGTCTCGTTGGACAGAGAGAAACTGAAATATGGAAGAGGTGCTGAAGCAATTGAAAGCTGCATGGGGCTTCGTTAGAAACGCATCTTTGCGTGCTGCGGGTTAGGGCCAGTGCCTGCCAGCCCGGTGATGGCAGAAGCGCTCGGAGGACCTTGCTGCGACGCTGCTAGCTAACGCTGCGGGGTCCCCCTCGAGCATCCCTGCTGCAC